TTTATGCGACAAAGTTTTAGTTTTAGAAATGTTGAGACTCAGGAGATTCGAATCGCACCAAGATTTAATGGTGACTTAAACCATTCGAGAGATGTTCCCCTGAACCCATAGTGCTGCAGTTTATTAATTAAGATCTTACGATTTACACAGTCGAACGCCTTAGAAAAATCACAGAAAATTGTTACTGTCGAATCATGGTTATTTAGGCTGGAGTAAACTTTATTAAGGAGGGAAAACATAGCGTCATTTGTGGACTTGTTGCTTAGAGATCCAAATTGATGTTCAGTAAGTATTTTGTACTTAAACAGAAAAGATATCAGCCTTCTTTTAGCCAACCTTTCTATGATCTTAGATAGCGTTGTAAGGAGTGCATCTGGGCGATAGTTAGAAGCTTGATCTTTGTCTCCTCCTTTATGCAGAGGAATGATTATTGCCGTCTTAAGACATATTGGAAAAATACCATTTTGGAATGACATGTTTATTAAAGTAGTTAGGTGATTCAGTGTGCTTTCTGGCAGATTCGAAAACAGTTTTAAAGTTAGCCCGTCGGTCCCAGATGAGGATTTATTTTTGATGGTATTAGTTGTACTGCGCAGCTATTCTAAAACTACGGGCGAAAAAAAGAAACTGTAAGTTTACATTATCATTAGAGAGATATGAAAGTGGATCCTGAGAAGGACATATGGTATTAGTTAAATTTTTCGCTACATTTACAAAGTAATCGTTAAGGTTCTCAGGTGAGGTAGAGATATTGCTAGACGAAGAAGCTTTGTTTTTCAAATCATTAACAATAGACCATGTTTCTTTAGCAACATTACCAGAATTGGCGATTCTCCTATTATAATAAAGGTTCTTACCGGCTCTTATAGTCTTATGATAAATTTTTCTGTATAGTTTTATGTAATTGTGGAATAAGACACTGTCTGACAATTTTTTTAAGTGAGATAATAAACGCATATTTTTAGAAGATATGCGTTTAGTGCAACCTTTAGTGGTCCAAGGTTTATTATGCTTATTTTTGATAGGCCTAGACTGGTTAATGTTTTTACGAAAATAGAAAATTGCCGTTAATTATGATATTAATTATAATATGTAATTATTTATAGCATAGATTATATTAAAGATAACAGCAAGGAAGAGATTGAAAAAAAAGACGGTTGATAAAAAAAGGAAAGTCCCTGACAAGTTATCCTCTCGCACCACAATCAGCGTTTGGCATCGCTCTACAAGTTGCACATCGAGCAGGAATAACAGACTCCGCTAAGATCCTTTGAGTCCCGTTTATCTATCCAGTGCAGTTTTGGAGGATTTTCGAGTATTTTCGCTCTAATTCCCTGTTTGGCTTGCAAGCTCATTGTCTAAAAGGGCGAGAATTTCATAGGACAGACATACACTGGATGGATCAGACCAAGACGGGAGATCGAGTTAGTTTTGAAACTTTATTTGTAAGCTTATGTAACAAACGGTTTGAAGAAAATAAAGTAATAATTTTAAATTTTAATTTAAAAAAATAATTATAGATGAACAAAAATATAAGTGTTTAATTGATGTAGTTTTTACAAGAAAAAAAAACAGATACATATTATTTTAGTAACCTAGACAATATGATGCTTACGTTGTTAGTATTTACTCATTTATACTTTATACACATTATACTTACATTTTTTTTACATGCTGATGATCACCAGAGAAGATTACAATTTTGCAAATGGTTTCGGGAAAGTGTTCAAGAGCCCCCTTTTTCTAGAAAAATATTATGGACGGATGAATCTTTATTTACAAATTCTGGTACCTTTAACAGAAAAAAAAATCATATTTTTATGCAAAAGAAAATCCTCATTTAATTAGAGAAACAAGACCACAGTAATATACCTATTCTTTGAACGTCTGGGCTGGCATTCTTGACAATAAAATTTTAGGTTCTGTATTGATCTGTATTGAACTTTACTATACAATTTTTGTGCGTCCAGATTTGACATTTAATAGAATAAATAAAATAACTTGATTACATATAAAGTGTCAATTGGATTTCCAAAGCAGACTTGATCTTTGGCGAATTTTAAAAAAATCTATTTTCTTAGCGAATTTTCATAATAATGAATAAAAATTCGATACCACCGTATAGACTTTTTTTTTCGCTCTATCTAACAGTATAAAAATTCAAAAAGGCGGCCATAAGAAAACAAAAACTTGACTGTGGTGCGAAATCCAGAAGGCTTAAAAATTTTCTGAAAACGGCATCTAGTTGGCCGATGTCATAAATATAAAACTACTAACTTGAGTTGCAATAGACACAACAGTTCTGAAGATATTGTCATTTAAAATAAACTAAAAACGAGTTGAAGAAAACCAAACCAAACCAAACCGAATTGGAATCTCTCGTAGTTTCTGAGATGCCAATGTTGAGCATCGAAAATGTCACCACCCTGTATAGATTATCAAAAGGCAATTTTTTTGATTCCGTGCCACATTCATGGTTGAAATACGTACTAAAGTTACACGGTGTCCACCCTGAGTTACGATCCTTCCTTAGCCACTGTATGTTGAAATGGAGTAGTGACTTAACATTAAATCACCATGGAAAGTTCCCACCAAGCAAAAAACCTTACATTACATTTGCAACATTGCAGTCAATCCCCAAACAGTTTGCTTTGTAATGTTGATTTCTAAACGTTGTGTCGTGATTGATGGAACCTTGCTACAGAAACATTGTTTTTGAATGGTGATTAAAACGTTTTTTCTGCAACATTGCAACAAAGATTCAAATGAAAGATCCGCGCAAGTTAATATTAATTAATAATATAACAAATATACCATAGGACCGAAAAAAACGGCGTCTAGTTAGCTTGGAAATGAATATTGATGACATTCCCCATATAAAATGACAGCGATTTTCTTTTCATAGCCAAAGCTGGCGACTTTTTTTTCGATCATACGGTATAAGTTAGGTTAGGTTAACGCACTCGTTTTTTTACGTTTTTGATATCACATTTTAAGCTTTTTGAATGAGATTTTAATGAATGTAAATGTAAGTATAATTTTATTGTTATGTGTGTTTTAATAATACTTAGCCATGAATAAGAATAACAAATTTTGTTTGGTTTAGTTTGTCTTTAAGCTAAATTTTATGTTTTAGGTTAGCTTTGAGCCAACTGAAGATTGAAGTAGATAAAATCAGGATACGAGTATATCAATATAATGATAAAATCACAAATAATATTCAGTATTAATTATTCTCAATAATATTTTTTTAATGATGTTATAATCATTTGAAATGTTATAAAATAAGGACATAAAGGGGCCTCAAAGATTACTGTCACAAGAGGTAAGTTTCTCATTGCTTTATTTATTACAACTGATATTACAACTGATTTACAACCGAAAAGGAATTTGAAACCATGAATAAGACAATTCAACATGCGAAGACAAAAAAGAAAGATCCAAAAAATCAATTAAATATAAGTTTGCTTTTCCTTCTACATACATTTAATGTTATACTTTCCTTTTGTATTTTTGAATAAGAAATATAAAATAATGTTTATACTGTACCTATATATTTTGTATTATTTCAGACATTGAACTTTAAGATTTTTTTTAGAAATTCGACTCGGAGGTCAGAGTTGAGTAATTCCTTATTTAATGAGCAGCCGAAAAGATCAGTAAGTTCTCAGTACTCGACAGTATTTTTGATATTTTTGAAACAAGTAAGTGATAAATTTCTAATTTTTATTTGTTTTTTTTTTTCAATTTGTTTGACAAATTCGACTTATTCGGATATATTTACCGAGCATTTTTAATTTTTCTAAGTCAATGGATATAGAGATATACCTACATATTTTTATCAATATTGTTTATGTTTTTCGTCAATACAATATTAGTAAAAGTATGTCATACCTATGTGAAAGTCCACAATTTAATACCCATTAATGTTTCTGTTGATTATAACCTACTACTGATGTATTATTGTTAACATAAAATTGCTAATGTTCGCAAGAAAAAACTGTTTCATTAATTGATAAGTTAATATTAAAAAAATAATTTTTATATTTTGCCTCTGATGAAGGAAATGGTTTTTTAATGCAAACATTATCTATTTTTTGCTATATTATTTTAGCAATAAGTTAGTTAATTATAATTAATAATATAATTTTACCAATATTGACGTAAAATTAACAATATTGCTAATACATCCGAAATTAGTACTTTCTTGAACGTTACGTTAGCAACGTTTCAATAATATTGTGAAATGCAACCTTGCACTGCAATGTTATTAGGCGGAAGATTAAGCTACCCTGAAACCTTGCATAAACCTCCCTACAATGAAAAAAGCAATGTTACACCTTGCTTTGCGAAGTTTTGGCAATGTTCCAGCAATAAATTTTGCTTGTTGGGTTACTTACAGTTCCATCCATGAGAATAAAAAAATGAATATTTCAGGGAGAACGCTTGAGCGCTCTGTTGTTCGTCATATCCATTAATCCTCTTAGCAAGCTTTTAAACAACTACAAAAAATATGGTTTCAAACTTAAAAGTTCTAACTCTCTTTTATAATAATATTAATAATAGCTCCCGTATATAGCGTTTGACGCCTTGGGAGTAGCAAGGTACAGCTTGCCATACTAGAGCCGTTCGGTATACAAGAAAGGTAATGTGACTAGCACTACGCTTCAACCGCCTATTATTACCTCAGGATTGTGAATCCCAAGTACTCATTTAGGGCTGAGTCGACCTAGGTACCCAAACTATTTTTATTTTAATAAAAACAGTCGGCTGATGAAATGCCGGGTGTGAGATTCGAACCAACTACCTTGAGATTGGTAGACGAAAGCCTGTACCTCTACGCCACCGGGTACCTCTTTTATAATAATAATAACATAAATCAGATTTTAATAACGTCACTTATTTCTATAAATACTCTATAAGATCATAAATGCAAATATCATTAATAATTTTGATAATTTAATGCAATTTAGGGCAAAAAATCAAATTATTTTAATTATTTTATATTGTATATTGACAAATTAAACATTGTATATTGACAATACATTTTTATTGGGACATTCACATTACACATAATTGCGTCTCCTTGAGAGACCACCATGGTTAATTCATGAGACTTTCCAGTTTCGCTATTAACGTGTTAGAAGCCACATCGCACATATCTTCGGTACTTCGATCGGCCTCTCTACTCAGCAGTACTATTTCTGAAATAAGCCCATGTAACTTATCTTCAGTGTTTCTGTAGATTTCTTTCTTGAATTGTACTACAAGGCATAACATTAAATAAATATGTGGTAACGATAGAAACAGAAATATAGAGGTGAGGAGTCAGCATAGGGAGAGGTCAGGAAGTATAAGTATGTAATAATAAGTATCCTGGTTATAAGTGTCTTGGCGTTCATCTACAGTCAATCTTAAATATGAGAATATAGCAAAATTGACCGAAACAGTTAGCCGAAGGAGAATTACCCGAAAAAATCATTACAACAACATACTAAAAAATATATGGCTTTAAAATCAACTTTCTGATTCGGTATTATGTTCTAAGGGGAATTATCATTTCGGGCAATTTTCTATTATGGTAATCTTCGTTTGAGTCATAGACTTAAAATAAAATATAGACTACACTATTTACATCTCAACGCGGTCAAACAATCTTTTTTGTATACATGTTTACTTCTGGGTACAGTCGACCGAGCCTTCCTCATCCAGCCTATGTTGTCACGTCTTTAATATTATCAATATTTTTTTTCTTGTTACACACATATATTGAGATATTAATACTACAGTTTAAAAAGTAGGTTTTAATATTCCAGAGATGTATTAAATAGTCCTTATACTACTAAATTATAAGTCGGATACTGTTTAAAAAGGATAAGTTCTTTACAATATGACAACACCGATTAGAGGCGAGGGAGCCTATTCATTCATTTATTACCTTGTAGTACGTGTCGCACGTGTGCGGTAAAGCTTTGTTGCCGCTATCTCCCCGGCTGTATTAACGCATTTTCTTAGCTTGTAGTGCTTAAGTGTTTATTTTATTGACTTTTTCTGTTCAAGAACTATAAAATATGGTTCGCCAGTGCCAAATTTGCAAGAAATTTGACTTAAATAATCCATTTAAGTCTTGAAACGACTTTTGACCGGTAGGCAACTCTCAATTTACCCATTGGGAGTCAGTGGCGTTGTTGTAGAAAGGCGCTTATTTAGATAATATTTTAGTAAAATGTAAAATCTGAATTTTTTCTCTTACATTACATTATTTACTTACTTACATTGTAACAAAATCATAATTATAACCCTGTTAATAATTAATAATGTTTTTATTAAAAATATATTCCGGTTTATTCTAAAATTATCTTCAGAATCTAAAATAACATACAAGAATTTTAAAATGATATTACATTATGAAACAATATTTTTTAATATACCGGGTCGTCTCAAAAGTGGCTCACCCCTATAACTTTTAATTTTTCAGGTAAAAAAAACAGATTTGTATGTTAGTAGGTATATGACATAAATTAGGATTTATTGACGTATTCAATTGTTTTGGTCTCTTCCTTTTCACCGAAATGATTACATCTTTTGATTTTTAAAAGCACCCTCGGTATATTGCTACTTTATTCGATAAAATATGACACTCTGAATAGAATGACATATCATATGCCAACTTTTGACATTGTCGCTTAAAACAAATCGTATTTTAAATTTCAATCCAGGGTGCCATGATGTTGTTAAAAACACTAAGTTTTAATCAAGGAGCCTTGGAAAAATAGTTTTGATCGTCTAATAGGTTTCGTGTCTTGTATAGGCCGGTTAAAAGATGTACAAATCGTATTTTTAATCATACATATGTCAATTTTTTCAAATGGAACAAGGGTGACTCATTAGCATATTTGGAAAAAGCATTTTTTTATGAATATATTGATACCACCGAATATTTCGAGTCAAATTGTCGTTATGAACCGCGTGTTACAATTACAATTAAATCGTATGCGAAAATGTCAAAAGTTGACGTATGATATGTCATTCTATTCAAAGTGTCATTTTCTATCGAATAAAGTAGAACTATACCGAGGGTGCCATTTAAAAATTAAAAGTTATAGTCATTTCCGTTGAAACAGGAAGTGACCAAAAACAATTGAATGCGTCAATCAATCCTAATTTATTTCATATACCAACATACTAAATCTTGTTTTTTTATTTGAAAATATAAAAAAATTATGGGGATGAGCCACTTTTGGGACGCACCCGGTATAATAAAGACAGTACCGAGTTAAATAAATGTAGTTTTTATTTTATCCACTTACTATCACCTTCCTTGCTTTAATGGAACAGATTTATGTTTTCCCTAACTTACATAATAAGACATCACTTAACCAGAAAAAAAATTTACAACAATCATATTTTTTTTTCTCTCCCTGTCGCCGATTCTATTATATCTGTGGAATAGATCCTGTTTTGATTAATATTAGGGGTTGTAAATGTTTGACTAAAATTAATAATTTATTATTAATTTCAAAAATTACGCAATTTCGATTCTAAAATTTCTTCTATAACGTATATTTTATTATTTTTATCCTTTTTGGACTCAAAATTGTTTTTTCTAAACTTTTATTTAAAAAACCTGTCATAAATCTTAATAAAATATAAAAAAGTTAAAAAGTAAATACGATATATTTTTAATTTAATTATAGCTTCATTAAAATAAAAAAAATACCCGGCTATGATACGGAGAGTTCAGGTGTACTTGAGAAACGAAAGACAGTGTTGTGTTTCTCGGCAGAGTCGTCAGGGAACGACCGTTACTACAGAGACAACCTATCTATCGCTGCTTCACAGGAAGCTATCGATTGCGATAGCTTCATTGAATCGACAGCTTCACAGGAAGCTATCGATTGCGAACTAACTAAATCGTTACTAATTAGGTACTAATTTTGAAAAGTCCTTTTTAAGATAAAAAAAGGTAAAACTAAAACCTAAACTATCATTTGAGATTAAACGGGAAGTTCTAATTAATGTTGCCTATTCTAAACAAGAAAAATTTATTTATAAGTTAAGTTTTATAACATTCCTAATTAAATTTGGGCGAAAAGAATATTTTTGTTTGCTGTAGGTAATTTTCTCAGGGAAAATATGTAAATAAAATTGACTTTTTAAGTCAAAAAAAGTCAAAAGGACAAGTTATTCCAAAAAAAGGACTGTTCTTTTCAAAAAAGGACAAGTGGCAACCCTAGGTATTTCTGGAATGGAAATTTAATGGCAAATCTACAACTTTGGTTTGAAAATATGTTCCGGCCACCTATGTTTACAAAAATGTCTAAAATGTGCATAAATGCCTCCATATTCTGAAAAAAAAATTGAAAGAAAAGTCACCAACCACAAACCTAATATAGAACTGTTTCGGAAGCCTGAGTCACCCTGTAAATATTTAAAAGTAACTGAAAGTTTATATAGAAGTAACTGAAAGTTTAAATTGAAAATCGACGTTGGAGTGATTTTCGAAAACTACTAACGTTTCAACATAAGTATATGTGGGATATTAATTGAATTATTATATTAGACCTTATAACAAAACTCATCTGACGAAAAAGTGTTAATGTAGTATATTAATATGGAGTAAAAATTTTACTAATTACTTTACTTTTACTTTACTAATTAAATTCGTTCCATAAAACGATACGCCACTGGCCATTAGAACAATCCAAATGCGCCTAGTTGCCGGGGTCGGAAATTTTAGACGTCTCTGTCTCTTCTGTCCTCGTTTGACACATTGGAATGTTTGATACACTACCAACGAGTATTTATGAATGAGATGTTCGGTCTATCTTTATAATGTCTTTGGGTTGAGCTGATAAATTTGGCGTTACTCAACATATTTTTGATGATAATTGTATAGATGTTAATAATTTAAAATTAATCATACAAATCTCAAATTACAGCCAATGATATGCCATATGGGAGCGTCAAAATAAATAAATTAATGTAAAGATAATATGAACAGAGATAATGGTCCAATTCCTTCTAGTTCAGTGTTCTTATTGCTCTGCCTCGGTAATTAATTGTTATGATCGATTAGTTTTGTATTATTACAAACATTATCTTATTACCATCAAAAATAAATCCTCTTCTGGGACCGACGGGCTAACTTTAAAAATGTTTTTGAATCTGCCAGAAAGCACTCTGAATCACCTAACAACTTTAATAAACATGTCGTTCCAAAATGGTATTTTTCCAAAATGTCTTAAGACGGCAATAATCGTTCCACTGCACAAAGGAGAAGACAAAGATGAAGCTTCTAACTATCGCCCAATTGCATTCCTTCCAACGCTATCTAAGATCATAGAAAGGTTGGTTAAAAGCAGGCTGGTATCTTTTCTGTTTAAGTACAAAATACTTACTGAATATCAATTTGGATTTCTGAGCAACAAGTCCACAAATGACGCTATGTTTTCCCTCCTTAATAAAGTTTACTCCAGCCTAAACAACCATCATTCTACAGCAACAATTTTCTGTGATTTTTCTAAGGCGTTCGATTGTGTAAATCATAAGATCCTAATTAATAAACTGCAGCACTATGGGTTCAGGGGATCATCTCTCGAATGGTTTAAGTCGTATCTGAGCAACAGAAGTCAACTTGTGAGGGTGGATACCACGTTGTCTTCTAGCAAGCCAATAGAATGTGGAGTACCACAAGGCTCAGTACTAGGCCCTATTTTGTTTCTTCTTTTTATTAACGACATTGCTAACATAAACATCAGTGGCAAAATATGTCTTTTTGCGGACGACACTAGCTTCACTTGGAGCAACAAGGACATCGCGGCACTTCATAGGATTATATCAAATGACTTAATCACCATTAAATCTTGGTGCGATTCGAACCTCCTGAGTCTCAACATTTCTAAAACTAAGGCTTTGTCGTATAAAAAACTCGTTGCAGCCTTTTGTACTTGACAACACCACCATTGACGTCGTAAAATCCGTAAAATTCATAGGGCTTGTTGTGGACAATTCTCTGAAATGGGACATACATATCGAAGCTTTGTCGAAAAAAATTGAGCTCTGCCTGTTTTGCATTAAGGTCTGTTTCTAAGGAGCTTAACTTGTCAGTGGCTAGAACTGTTTATTATGCACTTTTGAGTCGCACCTCAGGTATGCCCTTCCATTCTGGGGTACGTGTTGTGCGGCTCAATTTGACCACATTTTCAAGCTCAGAAGAGAGCTGTTCGATATTCACTGGGACTAAACAGCAGAACTCATTGCCGGGGCTTTTTTAGAGAATTGAAAATATTGACTCTTCCTTCCTTATTTATATTTGAATCCGTTTGCCTAATACGTAAACATGTATCAGCTTCTCAAGAAAGGCCATCTCACACTTATCCACTCAGGAACGCGGAGCAAGATCTTTATCTACCTACCCCACGCTCAGAGTTAGTTAAAAGTTCAATATTATACAACTCGAAAAAATACACAATCACCTGCCATTTGAAATCAAATCCATAACATCATTTTTTTCATTTCGCAAAGCATTGAACTCTTATTTACTAGACAAGGCTTTCTACGCCGTAAATGAATTATATTTGAATTGAAAATCGAATTTGATCTTGAAAACACTGGTCTAATGTTTGCTATTGCTATATTTACTAATGACATGGAAATTAATTTATTTAGAGGTCATTGGGGTCGTTTACCTTTGTCCACAAATTGAAAAATTTTTTGACAATAAAGGCATTTATTTATTTATTTAATTTGACTCGCTAACTTTGTCAGTTTTCGGCAGTACCAACAGTTCCAACGGAAAGCCAAAACAGGGTGTCCCAGAAATAAGTGCAGATATTTTAAGGGATGGTGGATCTAGTCAAAATAAACATCTTTTCTCTTTACCATTTTCAAAATAAATTGAAAATAACCGAGTTATTTAACTTTAAAAATTTTAATTTTTTCTCTCCATCCGCCTCTGTGTCACTCTCAATTTTTCTGCGGTTGCTTTTGTTAGAGTGAGTGTCTCTGCGCCATAGGTCAAAACCGGGAGGATACATTGGTTAAATGCCTTTCTTTTCAGGTGTATTGGGATATTTGCTCTAAAGATGTCCCTCATTTTTCCGTAAGCCGCCCATCCCAAGGTAATTCGTCTAGCCAGTTCACAGGTTTGGTTATCTCTGCTTATTTTGATCTCATGGCCCAAGTATACATATTTGTGGACTAATTCTATTCTGTTGTTGTGAATTTGTATGTGTTCGCTGGGCACCATATTAGTCGTTATCTTAGTCTTGTCAAAATTTATTGTTAGTCCAATCTCGTGTAATGCATCGTTAAGTTCTTGAAGCATGTCTTTGATCTCGCCCAGACTATCCGACACTATAACGATATCATCCGCAAAGCGTAGGTGGTTGAGTCTCTCTCCATCGATAACTATTCCTTTTTGTTGCTAAGCCAGCATTTTGAATGCATGCTCAAGAGCAGTAATAAACAATTTTGGCGATATGGTATCGCCCTGCCTAACTCCCCTTTTTATTTTTATTTGGTCAGTTGTGGAATGTAGATTTACAGTTGTTGTAGCATTGTCATATATGTTTTTTATTATGTTACAATATCGATGGTCGATTCTACATTCTTGTAGCGCTGTTGGGATGGCCGGCAATTCTACCGTACAAACGCTTTTTTTAAATCGACAAATATCAGTGCTAGGGGACGATTGTATTCGATGGTTTTTTCTATTAAGGTTTTTAAACACTGCAGATGATTGTTGGTACCAAATATGGAACGGAAACCAGCTTGCTCTTTAGGTTGGTAGAAGTCCAATTTTGCCTCTAATCTATTTGTTATAATTCGGGTATAGTTTATAAAGATGGTTAAGAAGGCTAATTGGTCTGTAATTTTCCAGGTCTGCTATGTCTTCTTTTTTATGTAAGAGGATAATTATTGAGTTATTCCACTTTGTAGGAATATTTTGATTTTCCAGAGAGATTGAACAGCCGTTGAATATTGGTCATTAATACTGTTCCTCCCATCTTTATCGCTTCTGTGAGGACACCATCATCCCCCGGAGCTTTATTGTTCTTCATCTTTTTTAGAGCATTGTAAATTTCACTTACAGAGATTTCCGGAACATTCTCAGTACCCTGATTTTGAACCTTTCCTTGTAGGTACTTCCTCGAGTCTAGAGTGGAATGGTTGGTGTATAGTGTTTCATAGAATGTTTCCACAATCTGTAATAAATGTTCTCTATTAGAGATGTTATATTACCATTTTTGTCCTTGAGTTTGACGATTTCTTTTTTTCCATTAGTGAGCTTGCGTCTCATTATTTTCATGCTCTTATTATCCTCGATAGTTTTAACAATTTTTTCGTTTCTGTGCTTTCTTATGTCTTTTCTGATTTCGCTTGATATTTCCTTATTTAGTTTATTCAAATCACCTTGACTGGCGTGTTTTTCGTCGCTTCTCAATTTCCTTCTTTTTTTCCATTTTGCGTTGCGTTTCCAAACTGATCTTTTCCTCCTTCAAATTTGTTGGGCAACATTTCTTTTTATGTTCATGTTCGGAATAATAATAGGACAAAAAACAGAATTAAACTCAAACACATTTGAAGTTATCAGCTGTTATTATTACTTATTGATCTCCTCTATAGACCTAAGCGGGAATATGGGGCTACTATAAACAAATTTCGACGCTCATTCTCCTTACCTCTATATCTCTGAGTATCGATAACAACACGATGATATGCTATGAGAGAGAATAACTTTCTATAAATGGGACATTTACCTTTAAGTTCAGAAATGGCATTCTTGACAACTTTCTCCATTTCCGTCCTCAAACGGCGGCCGTTCTTACATTCGCCAAACAACATGTCGAATGTGGCAAGAAAGGAGTTCTCCTGTTTTTGACCTTCCATACTAAGTGCCAATTTCTGATAATTTCCTTGGTCTTCGGTTTGGGCCGGCAACACTTCGTTAGTGTATTTTTCTATTATAGATTGATAGAGCTGAAAGAAATATTAAATAAAATACAGGCCAAAGCATAGGTAACAGACAAAATAAAAATAAAACGGTGATATAATGATGGTTAATTATGTGTAATGTGACTTTTAAGTTGCCTATTTTTTTTTCGCTTGTGTTCATGTTTTTCAATATTTCCATGACTGATGCCATAATAAATTTGATATACAGGGTGTCCCAGGCTGAGTGTGCATTAGAAGTTTCTAGAAAAGTACAATATCCATATCGGAGATTTTTTGCACATCATTGTTTCACAACGAGATCTATCGATTAAAATTATTTTCAATATGGCGGCACTTCCGGAAATACCGGAAGTTGATAGCAACTTTCTTGTTTTAAATGGGTGCCTCCATTTTTTATTACAAACTTAAATTCTCTGTAAAATTTTATGAATTTTGATATTAAACACTCTATACCTAACATTAACCGTTTTTGAGAAAATATTTAAAATTTTTGGTTGAAAAAAATTGCTTGTCAAAAATTTGTGTATAGCTTAAACGTCAAAATTAGTGATTACCACAGCCACTGTGTCATAAAGAGAAGACATGTGGCTATTACAAAAATTAAATTGTTCGAATGTCATATACTAATGACGGCAGCTGTCAGGGAATTGAGCGATTAAAAAATTATCAAAAATCATTTTTTTCAAATGAAAACCCACTTTTTTTATTTCACTAGTGAAAAGGCTTTCCAATTCGTTACTTTTTGACTATACATGTTCCTATACCTGAAATAAATTGTTTTTAGTACTTAAAAGTAAGTAAAGTAAATAAATTATTAAAATTATATTTAATAATTTATTTACTTTACTTTGATTAATCGTGATGTAATATTTTTTTTTGTAATTTGTAGAATGATGAACCACCCAAAAAATAGCAAGGAGTGAAGAAGCAGAAATAACTACTATCGAGGAAAATAATATCACTTTACTTACTACCAGGAAAATCTAAATTTATCAGAAAGTAATATACCTCGTAATATGTCTGTATATGATGTATAGACTTCTCTTAGATCAAAATAAATTTTAGTTGAGTCAAAATAGTATTCGCTATTGGTTTAAGAAAAGTCTCTTTAATCAAGAAATGTCTCTTTTCAATCAAGAATTTTTGCATGAATCAAAGAGACTATTGCTCTTGTAGCAAAAACTTCTTTGCATATTCATTTTGGGTCAAGAGTGAAATATTTTGGACAGATAGATTCTTCTATTCTCTAAAGTAATTTTTTAAAGCTTGTGATAAGATAGTTAATGCTTTGGGCAAAGAAACGTCGTTCTTGGTCCTATTGAAAAGCGCCAATCTTTTGGGTCAAAGTCATATTCATATTTCTTATATTCTGAGTTGAAATTCGAGTTTCTCTGGCAATGGTAAGAAGATTTTATAGGTTTCTTGCGATAAGCGTTTTTTCAGGAAGAGCGGCTTGAACAAGATTGTCTTTTGATGAATTTTTTAGTTTGAATTGATTGTTGAACATAGTTGTCCGCCTTAAGATTGATTCTCACTATACCTTCCATATCAGCTCCCTTCCGCAGTGAGAAAAAGGATCTCTCAGTCGAAATGAATATGACTTTGACCCCAAAAGATTCGCGCTTTTCAATAGGGCCAAGAACGACGTTTCTTTACCCAAAACATTAATTATCTTTTCATAAGTTTTAAAAAATTACTTTAGAGAATAGAAGAATATATCTGTCCAAAGTATTTCACTCTTGACCCAAAATTAATATGCAAAGAAGTTCTTGCTACATGAACAATAGCCTCTTTGATTCATGCAAAAATTCTTGATTGAAAAGGGACATTTCTTGATTAAAGAGACACTTTTCTTAAACCAATAGCGAATACCATTGACTCAACTAAAATTTATTTTGATCTAAGAGAAGTCTATACATCATATACAGGCATATACAGGCATATTACGAGGTATATTATTTTCTGATAAATTTAGGTTTTCGTAGTCTGTACTAAGTAAAGTGATATTATTTTCTTCGATAGTAGGTATTTATTTCTGCTTCTTCATTCCTTGGTATTTTTTGGGGTGGTTCGTTACTCTACAAATTACAAAAAAAAGTTACATCACGAGAAATCAAAGTAAAGCAAACAAATTATTAAAATTATAAGCTTTGGTCACATTTTGATTTTTTTAATACAACGTCTTGAAATTCTAAATTTTTTGTAATTATTTGCATAAAAAAATCGATACCTATATTCTTATTCTATCTATAGTCACGCATGCATTACCTATACAGGTGCATTAGGTAAATGTCTCTTACCTTCAAATATAGCAAATAAATGCTCTAATTTCTATTTTTTCAGAAACTCCTTTAAAGAATATCATCTTAAATATCCTAAAATGTGTCCATAAAAAATGATAAACGCATGTTAATAACGATCACTAATTTGTTATACGATATGCGTTTAAAAAGCAAATTATGCAAAAACCCAGGTGGACAATTCCAAGCAACAAAACCCGTGCGTATTATGATGAGCGACCTATAAAATGCGACGTGAGACTGATCGGACTGCCGACTGATTGTATATACCGTCCTTCGTACATCGTCTTTGCGTGTCGTTATTATTTTTCATCAAAAGAGTATTTAGCTATTGGAAAAATGGCCATGTTTCTTGAATGAAGGACTTCCTAGCGTATTTTTGTTATTATCTTAAAACAAAGTAACTTGCACTTGGTTGAATGAAAATAGATTCAAGAGAAATTTTCGAATTTTTCAAGAGAACAAGTTTACTTGAGTTAAGAGAATTTTTCTTCAGGCAAAATATTTTCATTTACGCTAAAATAAATTCTCTTGTCACTAATTTTTTTTTTTTTAAGAACGATGACGACTTTAGTTCAAGTCTATTTTTTTATCAGTGCGTTTACATAAAATATTATATCATGTAAATGAATAAGACAATGCACACTATCCGTTCCGTTTTACTTCCGTTCCATATCCTTTCCTTCCATACATTTTTTTGACGGACGGACTGAAGCGTATCGGAAACAGCGTTGTCAAGTTCTTACATTTGTACCAGCTCTGTTAACATTTTCTGATATTTATTTATTCTTTCACCTCTTAATTAAATCTAATACCTTTTTCAAAAGACACAAATTTTTAAAATTAAACTTTTGTAATGATATAAATTTCACAATAAAAAGTATGGAAAAGTGATACGGAACGGAAGCCTGGAAATGACCGATTGTGTAACATGAAAAAGCTGCGACACGTGTCGTTGCGACCGACACTCCTGCAATAAAGTTGTGACTCCTTGATGACTTCTTCAGTATTTAAACGCCTTCTAACACTGTTTGGTCTTTCCAAAACATTAAAATTTGTCATATTTAACACCAATTTTGACGATCAAGAAGGCAAATTCACACTAAATAAGAAATTGATTTTATGGAGTTTATGCGTTTTCAAGTGCGTCTTTATTGTTATTTTTTATGACGGGAATTTTTTCTTGTATCGAAGTGATACGGAGATAGGTCTATAAATATAGTAATTACAGATACACACATATGTGATCACTAATTTGTTTTGATTAGTTTATATGAAAATAGTATATTGTTTTATTAGGAGTATTAATGAGTAATTCTTTGTGGAGAGGATGTACGTTTGACAGCCTCGTATTCCGAATTCAACCGAGGTCATTTAGGCAAAAATTAATACGTTTGAAAAAAAACAATTTCATGGATTTTACTTTAGAAAATCATCCCTTGCTTGCTGCTGGACAAACATCAGTGATCAAAATCATTGAACAAAAATTACTTAGTACCGAAAGTACCCAGAAAACCGGGAAATCTCGGTTCCTTAAAAGCATGGTACCGATATTTCCGGACAACTCTGGTTCCGGAAACCCTATGCAATCAACGTTGCAGTCAGATGTATCACTGACCGTTATCAAGTGTAAACTCTAATAATATTAATAATAATATAGAGGGTGGTCCGAACTGTATTCCGGAAACTTCGGCAGCATATTCTGCAGATAAAAATAAGTAAAAAAGTTCGTTTAAATATAATATCTGACAAACGGATCTAAAACAGCAAGAGGAATGCGGGCAAAAAAAGTCGACGTTGTCACGTTTAATAATAGATAAGCAAAGTTGCTCAATATTACCTATAAATTGAATATATTTTAGTCCATTTCAGCATACATAATTATATATATGCTAATATCTTGACGTTGTTCTTATTGTATTAATGTATATTTATCTAATTAACTGATCTCCCTCATTCTGCTTATTATAAAAGGTAAAGTATTTCCTAAAAATAACGTCCGCTTAGGGCAAGCTGGCAACGCAGACAAAATTCATCATGGCATCCCGGATTCAACCAATCTGATTGGTCGAGATTCTCGCATCCTCTCTGAATAGTACCCCTCTCTCTGAATAGTAGAAACAGCCACTACTACTGAAAAATCCAGTGGCGGTGTATTATATTGTGTTTTATGCCTTTAACTTTATTTCTGCTTATTGTAATTAGTACACGCGTTTTAACAAATATTACTATATTTGGCAAATGACTAAACAAAATCTAGGTACATTTAAAGTAAAATAATATTATAAACTTTACTGGAAAATATTATAAGAATTCCTGATATATTTTTATGAAACACCGCACGCTCCTGGATATTTTATGAATGAAATCGGTCATGATTTCACAAAATTGCGATCCCCTTACCGTTGCCCCGTTGTTTCAGATCCGTTTGTCAGACTGTATGTCCTAAAATGCTTAGTTTCATAGATACAGGGTGTAGAAGATTCATTTTTATTTCTATTTTTCCTAAATAATTTCTGACGTAACGTCAATAATTAGATAAAAGTTTGTTTCTGGGAGTTTTTTGACATGAGAAATTTGATTTTGATGTCAATATGACTCTTACTAGTAGAGGGCGCCACCTACATGTGTTTTAACTGTTTTGAAGCGTAATAACTTTTTGTCCGTACCTGTATAAAACCACCGAGTGAAAAAATATACATTTTCAACACTTTTTACGTAAAA